ATCTGCAATGCATGGTTTGATTTAAAAATTATAAGTTGAAGTTAACTTTGATTCGATAGGAAACTAAACTTCAGGATAGAAAATTCAAGCACTTAATACATATAAATTCAAAATTTAATGACTAAACTGGACTAAACTACCTAAGCCGTTAACTAACAGTTCAGTCAAAAAATTGCAAGTTAATACGCCATATGGGCTGACAAAAATTCATCAGACAAATATTAAAAACCTTAAAAGGCCAACTTAAACGCACTACCCACTCCTTCAGTCTGCAACGCAAGTTTGAAGCACAACAAGATTTAATTGCTGTTCTCTGAAGTGTGTATACGCGACGTCGCTGTTAGTCCAACGATTTTCTTCCTCCAAGCAAACAACTAATTTTCCGTCTTTCTTGATCAGCGTTGCTTGAAAAATTGTCAACAATGCACGCCCGGAGGACTCAGTGTGGCGGAAAAATTGCGTCTGTGCTGACTGACTGGCCGGCGGAGCGTTCAATAAAAGACTGCTTGACCGACGTTGGTCAAAGGAGCCGTGTTTGTTTGCCTCTCTATTTTTGGTCGCCGCAAAAAGCAGGAAATTCGCCCGAACCTTCCTTTCTCGCCAGTCAAAAAGCAAGCGTGTGTCTTTCGAGCCTTTAGGAAGTACATGCATGCATATGTACATTTTATAGCGGCACATGGTGCAGTGTGTGTTCAGGGCCGGAATGGGCCGCTGCTCCGGGGCGTGCGATCGCTCAATAATAAATGCTGCAATTTCATTTCCCATGCCTTTGAGCTCCCCTGCCTCCACTAGTGTGCATTATGAATGAAAGCAGCCGGAACAACGTATTGCCGAAAACTCGTGCATGTGTGTATAAATTCGCCCGCCGAGCACCTCTTTTTGGCCTTATGATTATTGAATAAACTCGCTCTCTTGAATTTACCTTTCCAGAATGCATCGCCGAGAGAGCGTGCCAAGGGATGTATCTTTATTAATTACCACCTCCATTGCCAAATTCGAGACTAGAGTTGTAGCAGACGCAGTTTTATGTTTTGATAGATTCGGAATTAACACTGGTAAAATAATTCACTCAATTCAATAATTCAAGCAATTAGCATATTATTTTTGACACATGCTATATGCAAAACTTCTCTAAATCTAGTGATGCGGAAGAGATTTTTTTATGCTTCAATATCAAGGTTACCATATATTTAAAAAAAACCGAAACAAAAAATAACTTATTTTTAAATTGTAAAAATTATATTAGAGTAAGCAGTACCTGAGCGTTTATATAAAGTTATTTCATGGAATTTGATTAAATTTTGTGTTATCATACCATTCGTATTCCTACCAAATTACTATTCAAAGCTTTTTACATAATTAACATTATATAATAAAATTTAAATAAAAAAAAACTTTAATAAGTACACTACAGAAAACATCATTAAAACAAAATTTTACGGGCAAATTACTGTTTTTATTTTTTACAAATTATATAATTTTTTTTGCAAAGAATCCACTTGAAAATTTAATAATGGGCCTCTTGCATCTTGTTATGATCAACTTTGCCCTGGCAACCAAAAGAAAGCGTAGTCAAGCAAATTAATGAATTGAGGCAAACAACTTTTCTTGTTCCAGCAATTTTGCAATTTCTCTCGCAGAATCGGAGGCACTGCTGGGAAAAAAGTAAGCGTTTCGCTAATAGGATCACAATACAAAACTTGGTCTGTAGATGATGAAAAAATAATTGAATGTGCGCTTGCAAAAAGTTGCGCGCCCACGGCTGCGAAATAATTGGATTAACTAGTGCGAGAAAGCGCAGACTCGAGGAAAAGGAACTGGCGGATTCCGCTCTCTCGGCGCTGCTGATATTAAAAATGCGGCCCGGCTTATTTATTCATAGGTGCCGGGCATTATTTACAGAGGTCGCCTCGTAAATTTTGCATTCCTCGGCCGAATAAAAAGAAGCTAGACCCGCTGGCACGCTGACAAAACACACTCACACAGGGACTCCTTGGGCGCGGAAAAACTGTTAAGCGGCAAATTTATATGCAATTCCAGCGAGCGTTGTGGCCGACCAGGGAAAACGCACGCCGCTCCAAATGTGCTTTCGCCAGCCGGAGGGGCGGCGCGAGCACAAATTTAGGGGACAAAGGTGGATATTCTCTTTTCTTGGCTCCGTCCGACGGGTCAATTTATCGTCAGTTGTGCTTATTGTGCGGTTGAACCGAGAGCTTCATTAGATTAAATGCGACGCTGAAATAAATTCTCTAGTGAAACAAAGGCTCTTGAAATTTGTTACACTTGCTTGTACTTGCAATTGGATTCAAATTAAACGTGGAAAATAAGCTCAATTTAAATTAAAAGTAGTTGATCGTTGTGAATTCATTTGAAATGAATTAATTCAATTTATTTGCAGTAACTTTTTTTCGATATATAATTCTTAAATTCATAATATTTGAGCCCTTTAAATATTTAAGCAATGGTAAATTGTCATCACTGAACATCATGATAGATTTTAAACAAACTTTCAATGAAGACGGATTGTCTCTTTTGAAGCAAAAAAACTTCTAGCAAGGTAATTATGAACAAGATTAATTAAAAAAGTAAACATTGTTTAAAAAATCCTTTCTTTCCTGTAATGGGAAAATTTTATTGTCTGAGGTTGTAAAAGAGAAAATTCCAGGGAGGGCAAATTTTTCTGTCTCCACAGTCAGTCGCAGAAATGTAAGTAAAACTGCGAGACAGAACACAGAGGGTGAGTGGTCTGTCTCTCTCTTCAAAGAATTCGCCGTTGTTTGAAGTCGTCGTGGGTCTGTGTGCAATAAAATATGCAAGCGAGGGTGCGACATTCTTTCTACGGCAGCGACCAACAGCGGCAGAAAGCCTTTGACAAGTGACGGCCAAGTGCTTTCAGCGGCCTGTTTTAAACAGAGAGAGAGAGAGGTCGGCCTCTCTCTCACTCTCTCTGGGCAGCAAAGGCGAGTGGAGTGAAATGCAAATGGTCACTTCGGTGGTTAATCCGGCAGGCCAGCCACCAGAACGATAAAACAACATTCAGCGCTGGGCAAACATTTTAAGCAGATTAAGGCAAGCGCCAGAAATAAGAGTGCGTCGGTCAGTCTGCAAATAATGAACAGGAAAATGCTCACCTGCCTTGCCAGCCCAAACAAACAAACATTCATTTTAGCGAGAAAAAAATTTATTATTTGTTTCCGCGACACACAGCAGTATGTGCGCTATCTTTTTTTTCCATTGCGAAAGTGTCACCGCATAAATATTAAGTATGGTTTGATGCATGGTGCGCGTTTTTTCTGCACAAAGAGCAAAGTGAATAAATCTATGCCTTTGTTTGCATGATAATGCCCGCAGATAAGCGCGCAGAGTTGAAGCGCAGAGCAAATTTTATTCACAAAGAATTATTATGGGAGCGACAACGTGAAACTGATGCTGCTTTGCGTTGCGGTGCCGCTACCACGGCCAGCAGTCACTTTATCGCGCACAGAGAAATGTTGACGTTTATTGAACCCAAACACACATTTTTTTTCCTATAAACTCCGTTGCCCTTTTGCTGCTACAAAGGCAGTGATTTACAAATATGGCCCATTTTGATACGGGGAATGGCGGAGAATTAAAAAAAAATTGTTAAATATGAATGGAAAAACCAAAAATTGATTATTCTTCCTCACTTTTCTTTCATCTTTCTTCTTTCTATTTACACCTTCCCTGACAATGAGGTTTTTCAGAAAAATATTTAAGAATTTTTTTTTCTATTTCCTCTTTTAACTTTCCAGATTTTACCGTAAAGAGGAACTTGCGACAAATATTAAAATTTGTACTTATTTCAAGACTAGAAATGTTACAAAAAATGTTCACCACTCAAATATAGAGAGCTTCCAGGAAATGTGGTGAGGAAAACCTGTTTTGATATTTCCAGACCTCGCTTGGAAACCCTCCATTTTCGACCTTTGTCTTCAGCACAGGAGAAAAGACCATTATTTCCTCCCACTAAGGGAAAACATGTTTTCGGATGGCGAGTCACTCAGGCGCAGAGGAAATTATTTTGGATTCCCTCTTTGAAAAAAAAGCGGCGCGGACAGAATGGATCATTAAAAAATAACGAGCAGCCGCGTTATGGAAATTGCGAGTGCGTTCATTTTTCCCGGCTGAATCCGAAATTAGGCGCCGCTTGTTGTGCCGCTGCGAGAGAAATAGAGGGACTTTTCAATATTGGCATGACAAGCCGGCGGCAGGCAGGCAGGCAACCCGCAAAACATTTCTCTGTATCAATACGACTCGGGCGTGGAGTGAGCGCGGCTTGACAAGGGCACTTTTTATCTCGGGATTGTCAACGCAATTGGCAGCAGGAAGGCAGCGCAGGTCTCGTGCCAGAGCCACTTGACACTTTTTTGCCGGCGCGCGCTGACTGTGCTGCAAATGCGACGGAATTAAATTTTTACTCGCAGACAAAGACTTCGCCGAGTGACATTGTCAGTGATGAGATTTCGTGCCCTTTTCTGCCTCGATTCATGTCCTGAGGCCACCAGCTGGAAAATTAGAATAAATTTACTCTTTTTTTCGTTCAAAAGAATTATGAATATAAAATTCTTGCAAACCATTTCTTCCTCTGAATTGCAAATTTTGTTTAAACATTCGATTCAAATAATGCAGCTTTAAAACCAACTAAAAAAGACATCAACATTTTCACCAGAGTGGGAATATGACAAACTGTTAGGATTTTTTGAATCATAGCTTAATGATCATTATAAAATAATTATTTATTAAATGAACCAAAATTTTTTTACTTGTAAAAAAATGAGGAAAATACTTCATTTTTAGCGCTGTACGTTTAACGTTTAAACGAAAAATTGATATTAATATTAAACTATACACTTATTTTATTTCATCCTTTTCCTTCCAGTTTACTCTGCATTTTGAAAAATTTTTAAACAATTTTTCATGCGAAATTAACTCTTTGTGTCAATTTAAAAAATTGATTTTCGTATTTGTTTGTTCTGTAGATTTGGGATGAATACGGAACTGAACATATAAGCCTGCCACAATGAGCAGAAAAGAAGCGTTGGCCACCCTCTTGCTGGTGGTGCTGACGACCTCCGGCTCTGCCCTCGGTCTCGACGCTGGTGAGTACATTATTTCTCTTTTTAATTCCTTTAACGGCTTATCAATGATGATTTTACGAGGCAATTAAAGCACTTATCGGTGTGATAAAATTTTACGGCTGGCACGACGGCACTAAAACTTAAAATTAAAAACCCCTTGATAAAATAAAGGCGCCGCTCTTCTCTGTCTCCGGCCAAATGAACCAACCCTTGCGCCCCCTGCTTTTTGCTGCTCGGCATTCTTTCGTAGTCCGCGCGCCCGAGAGAAGGGAAAATTTAAATTCCTTCCACACTCGAGATTAGTTTTACACTCGAGTTAATGTCTCGCGGAACACACACCCGGCTCCACGGCTAAATCGCAAATGAAAAGAACTAGTGTGCTGGCGAGAGCGCCAAATAGTCTTTTTTATCGCGCTGTTGAGCATTCCGGATTTTCCTTTTTTTTATCGCAAGGAACAGATTTCAGTTGTTTAATTTTAAACAACTGTCAAATTTTATCTTATTATTTTCAAAATTGCTCAACTCACTTCTTGAAAGTGTGTAAGGTAAGAACCTGCCTATTAATTAAGGCTCTCCCTTATTCACAAGCCTTTATAATCGGGTTACAAAGAGATAAAATTGACTAAAATTTAAATTACTCACTTTTTGCACCATCTCAACGAATAATGAAAGCCCGTGGCGGTGACGCTTCTGAATCTCCTTGGCGGATCGCGGATCGATATTTTATTCCCAAGCCATTTTTGTCAGGCGGCCGAGTTTTGAGGAGCGGTTCCTTCTGTGACCTCTCAGAGCAACAGGTTGAAGAGGCTCCAAATGAGCACCGCCGCCAGAATCGCACATTTTAATTACAAACGAGCCACCCTGCTTATTGTGGTGCCGCACATTTCGGATTGTGTGCCCGTGGCGCGTTTGTTTACCTTTGATTATTGCCAAGACGGCGGGAGCTGATCCGCTCTTCTTAGTTCGCAAAAGCACGGATGCTTTCAGCTGTGTGGCAGCGCAGTCTGAGCTAATCCGCCTTAAAACGTGCCGTCTTGCTTAAAAAGACACTTGCCAACTAGGTGATGTATTGATTTGCTACAGGAAATATAATATTTGGTTCAAGGGTCAATGCAGTGTATGGGTTCAAAAGATATCATTAGAAGATTGTATACTTTTTATTTTTTCTTCATTTATATTTTAACTTAACAGTGTTGTTTTTAATATTTTTATTTTTCTAATTTCAATTTAATTTTATCAATTATAGTTTCACATGACTATCAAAAGTATTATTTTACGTATTTTCATTCAGATTTATATAAATATCATTACCAAACATGTTGACAAAGCAATTACTTTTTAGTTTCCTGCATTTCATGGTTGACCTGTGCTACATTTTATAAATTAAATTTACTACTGCAAATGTAATGTATGAAAATCCAATTTAATGAGACCTTTTTTTAACAATCTAATAAAATGAATTTAAATTTATGTATTTAAAAAAAAAAATTTATATAAAAATATAAATTCAACGTTTTTGTTTCAATTGGTAAGTAAAAATATCTATATAAAAAATAGCTTCTTAAATTAAACATGATATAATTTTTATATTACTAACTTATTTCTACGTTTAACAATAAGAAAAATTATATTGATCACAAAACTTGCTAGTAAAATAACTGTTACAACGCTTGCAAGCAGCATAGTTCATTTTGCAACTCAAGAAGAAGCTGCTGGAAAATAAATTTTGCCAAGCAACAGAGTGAAGCAGTGTAGCAGCAAAAAGGGGCTCGCTGCGCAAAGGAGGAAGGAAGTAAAATACTCGCTTTGAACTGGCGTGTTGGTTGCAGTAGTTGTTGCTGCGCTAGCGAAATGCATTTCAATCCTCTCGTAACTCGCAATCTCTGTTCCTCGCTTTATCCTGGCGTGAATTCTACTTCCCTCTGGCGCTGTTTTGCAATATATTCAGCACAAACGGCTTCAGAAGTAGTTGCATCCGCAACTTCATATATAACAATTTGTTATTTTTACGTAAAAATGATTTGCCTAGTACTCTTCTCTTGCATACAACTGTTTTGTTTATATTGATATGAGAAATTATATTTACAGCAAACCTACCATTTAAACAAAGGTCTTTAACACTTAATTTATAAAGAACAAGATCCCGTTGCAAATGAACCGAATTAAGGCACAAATATCCAGAAATATTGAAAAAGGTCCAATTTATATAAATTTAATTTCTATTCTCATTCAAGAATTGAAGCAATTTTTGTTGATAAAATTTTTAATGCGAATTTTTATTAATATTTCCCTCCAATTTCTATTCATTATTATTCTCTCCCAACAAGTAAACTTTGAAAATTAACTCAAACATAATTACTGAAGTAGATACAAGACTAAGAAAATTATAATATCTACCTTTGTCAAGTGAAACCACATTTATTGCAAACAGATTTACGCCCATGGAGTCTCGGTGTTGTATTTAATTCGAAACGAACAAAGCTAATTAGAGTTGCAAACTAATTGCATTTGAGGAACGTACCGTACCTGTCCTAGACGCTGTTGCAGCAGTTTTACACAACGGTGCAGTATGTTACCATCGTGGAAGTGGAGCTGAGCTGACTGACTGAGATTAATGCCAGTCATATTGCGCACCAAGCTCCGCATCGGTCGCTCATTCGATCATAAATTTTGCGTTTAATTTGAATGCTCATGTATGCAGCAGTGCATTAAGTAAAGTCTCGCTATATTTCATCTCTGCACCGGTGAATAATTATAAACGCGATGGAAACGAATCCATTGTTTCCCGGCTGTAAATTTCAGGCCGGAAAAGTCACTCGGATTTGCATTTTTCATGGCGGACGTTGAGTGAGTGCGGTCAGCGGAAAAGCCGCTTTGTACAAATGAGAGGATGTGTGGTCGAGGAAAAAGCTAGCCAGCCCGAGATAAAAAGTTAACTCCGCTCAGACTTGAAAAATTAGAATGGCTGGAAAGGGCTTAAAAAGTGCACTCACCACAAAGATGCTAAAGTGCACGTCCTAATTGCGTCTCATTAAAAAGCCCAAGCAACTCCAATTAAAAATGCACTTGTATAATACGCCACCATTAATTACGAGAGACGTTTTTTCAACAAAGAAAATTTTCTCAAGGATTGGGAATACAACTTTCTATATACACCCTTTTCCGTTGCTTTGGCTCAAATCTAGATCTAGATACGTAAATGAATAATAGAGCTTTTTATAAAGCATAAAAATTCCACCTAGCATTTGATAAATAAATTGCGGAGAGCGACCATATCCCAGCAGGTCATAACCATCACTCTGCATTTGATAAATTGAAGCGGCTGAGAGAAAAGTTGATGAGAATAATAAAGCGGAAAAACTCGTAAACTCTTTCAAGAACATATAGCTCGGCGGACAGCCGTTTTTCATTAAGGAAGACGAGTGAGTGTGTGTGTACTTTTATGTTACTTTTATATCGAGGTCATTTAAAACTTGTCAGCGGCGAGCAAGCGCGAGAGGAGCCAGGCCAGCCAGCAGAGTGAAACAAACTCTGGGCGCGCAAATGCAATTACAAGATTGTTTCGTGTCGTAATCCGAGCAATAAATGCAGTACAATCGCTTGCTTAATTTTTGGCTCGAGCCCGACTTGGCTAGCGTTTCGAGGGTGATTAAAAACTACAAAATCTATAATAGCTGCAAAAATAATTGCAAGCAGATGCTTCGACAATGACTGCTGCACAGCTGATCTAAATAATGTCATAACTGGATAAAAAGTTTCAATTGGTCTGGATTGACAAAAGAAACAAAAAGGTATTTTCACTAAAAAAAAAACTTGAAAATGCTTCTATTCATAAAACAGAATGTTTTTAAATATGCTTAATTAAATTATTTTTGAACCTTCAAAACATCAATTTGATTTTTTTCAAGTCCCAACAAACAGTATCTGTAAATAATTATAATTTAATTTTAATAAAAAGTTAAAAAATTTCTATGTTCTTATTATGATAGCCATTTTTTCTGTTCAAAATTTTAAATTTAAATTTCTTTCAGCGAATAAAAAATGAGCATCTTATTTCCTCATACAAATATCACGTTTCCCTGCTGATGGGGAGGAAGTTGAGTCGCTGCGGCCACGTGAGTGATGGGCGTAAATAATTCCAGAACTCCTCAGGGCGTGCATTAGAGCGATGAAATTCAAAGTGGCCTGCGCCGTGAAGTGTTGCGATGCGGCGAGACTGCCGAATGATAAAGTGCAAATTACTTGGCACCGCTGGGGCACCGGAGCGGCAATATACTTACGTGATTGGAACCGCAATGCATTTCTGCGCCAATATCTATATTTCCTAGCGCCGAGGTGCCGTCGTCTCTTGATTATGACGGAAATAACAAATACACCAGAGAGAGAAAGAGAGCAGGCGACACCGGCAGAAATGTGTCGCTCGCTCTCAATTGAGGAATCGATTTCAATCAGACTGGCTTGCAGCGGGAATTGCGAAGGCGACAGAGAGCAAAAATTGGCCCCTTTGAAGCGCGCCCAGCTTGATTGCAACTGAATAGGCCAAGTGGAAGAATAATTTTGTGTATTTTTGTGCAAATGATTGTGATTGTAGGAACTACAATCAGTTGAATTTCTTTTAATTTTCACATTATTAACCTGCTATTATTTTTTTTTTTATAAATTTTAAAATCTAAATTCCTACAAAAACTTTCAATATTTTCAAAAATTAATTAATTAAACAGTAAACCAAACATTTCAAATCACAAAAGCAAGAATTAAATTGCAAATAATAATAAAAATACCTTCTGTTATGTAATTTTATTAAAAATTTATACTTTTGCAGACTAATTTATGAAAATTTAAAATTATTATTATGCACCGTATTCCTATGGAAGCGTGACCAGTTGTCTCCTGCTGGACGCGCACAGGCGGAGAGAAAATAAATTCCATCTCCGAGCAGCAGCACGGATTTCTCTTGTTCTCATATTCAAATCATGGATTGCATTACTTGAAAATATCCGCGAGCCATATTTCACATTAGACCGTGA